ATCTATCTATCCATCTATCTATCCATCTATCTATCCATCTATCTATCCATCTATCTATCCATCTATCTATCCATCTATCTATCCATCTATCTATCCATCTATCTATCCATCTATCTATCCATCTATCTATCCATCTATCTATCCATCTATCTATCCATCTATCTATCCATCTATCTATCCATCTATCTATCCATCTATCTATCCATCTATCTATCTATCTACCTACTGTATCTATCTGTCTAACCTGTGTCAACGCAGAGCATGAAACACCAGTATGAAACACACGCTGACGAAGTACGAACGCCCTTTCAAAAAAATGCCTATCTTTCCCACAAAGTGAACGAAACAACGTCAATAAAGTGTTGGAAACATTCTCCACCCAATAACGCAGACCCACCAAAACTCCGTCTGTTACCAATTAGTACAGATAGAATGGAAAACCGCTCCACAGTCCACCCAGTCTGATGACATCTTTTGGACCCTGAACCTCTCGACTCAGTCCACTTTTGATTTTTTGTGTTTTGTTCCATAAACACAAGCCCGGAATGAGGTCACACTAGTGATTTATCTTCAAGCCTCTGAAGTTTAACAACATGTCTGAACATGTTTGATCTCCCACACCTGCATCATGTTTGGACCACTGCCATATCTTGCATATAGCAGGATCTACACACTTAGGTTGAGAAAATGTGTGTGTGTGTGTGTGTGTGTGTGTGGGATAACTCATGTATGTTAGTCATGATCACAATCTGCCTTTTAAAAAAAGACTCATAAAGTTGGTTTTATTAGCTCAGACGCTGCAACGCACAGCATGCTCAGCTTTGAAAGTTTTAACATGTGAAGACGCTGCATTTACATGGAAGTGATGGAAAATGTAGCGGATTCAAATAGTGTTCATAAAAAGGGTTAAACAAGCACATGACCTTTGTAAACTAATAATGAAACTAAATGTCTAAAATCCAGTCTAGACTGGTATGTATTAGTTACTGGAAGTAAAAGAAAAATGAGAACAACACTACTTAAATACAGTGATTTTAGCTAAAAAAAAAATTGATTTCAAATGTTAGCTAATTGTTTCGTAAAGCTAGCCTTTAACGGAAAATAAGCAAAGATAGTAAAAAAAAAGTTCACCAGTCATGAAGAGTATTTAACCAAAGCTAAGCCGACAGTTAACATAAATATTTGATGTCTGTGTTTATTCAAAGGGAGGAGGTTCTACAGAACTGTGTGCGATGGAGGAAGAAATTCTCCTTCGTGTGTAAAATGAGTGCAAACCCAATCACTGGTGTGTTGGATCCATGTATCTGCAGGGTATCTGTACGAAAGGTAAACCTCAAATCACAGAGTTCACACATCTCTCTCTCTGACCTGTTTATCTCTTGTTATTTTCCACCTTATGTGTACGTTTATTTTGGGTTTCCCGCCTTCCCTTATCTGCTCTGGCGCCCCTAGTGGCAGAACACCTCAAACTTTCAAAATCACTGTTTTAAGTGATTCCTGCCAGTAGCAAAGTCACCTGTTGTCCTTTTGGTGCCTCAGGTCATGGTTATGGTTTGGCGCTCCCTATCACTCGACATTGTTATTGTACGTGCATTCATTCTGAACAGTTTCAAGTCCAAGTCCCCAAAGTGTGTTTGACAAAGTTATGTCGTCGGTTCTTGGCTACCAGACCTTTTTTTTCCTGTATTCTTTATTCTTAATTTAACCATTTAATGTATGGTTAAATGTTACTTCAGAATCAAGTTGTCTTTAAGGTTTTGGTGTTACCGTAATAACTGGACTATATATTTATTATTTAGGCCGCACTTCTCTATAAGCCGCAGGTGTCCATGCTGTAACATAGGATATTTACACAGAAAGACTTTTTTCTTTTTTAATTAACTACATGCTTTTCCCGAACACTGCCTGTAACATGGCTGGTTACACGTTTGCTCTTTCCTGCTTCGGAGCCCTGAGCGTAGTTGGAATGAACAGGGGAGACGTAGTGATCTGCTCCAGGAGGCAAGCTAACATTAGATCCGGGGCTAACTCCCTTCACTTTGTGCTTGTCCGCAGCAAAGGTAAACAGAAACAGGGACACAACACCACAACAGAACATAAACAAAGTTTTAACAGCTCCTGTATAACCAACTGACGCTTCAACATGACAGGGCTCAAACTACTCTCAACTTTCGCTAACGTTCTTTCTCTCCCACTTGCCCAACGCACATCTACGCACACAGCCATTCACAGACAGACATACACTACTAGTATAACACACAGTAGCCTACCAGAAAAGTCATTGATCGCTAGCGGAATGAACTTCGTTAGCCCGTAAAAATCCATAAATTAGCTGCATCAATGTTTAAGCCGCAGGGTTCAAAGAGTGTGGAACAAAGTAGCGACTAGTATTCTGGAAATTACGGTAATTACATAAAACATTTTAGGCCATTTAACATTATATTTATTAAAATGTCATAGCTGTTTATCAGAGGAAGAAAAACAACTATCAGACTGTAAATGACGCTGTTTTCTTTCCAGGAGCTGAAAGGAGGGAAGGCCTTCTCAAAGGTAACTAGATCTTGCGATTATATGATCAGTGGGAGATGTAGGGAGTGAGCTTTAACCCCCGTAAAGTTTAGAGCCTGGATTCCCGTCCACAGTCAGCTGCTGTCCACCGAGTTTCTTCATTAGATTTTAAGATTCAGTTGACAAAGTGAGTGAAACAGTAATGACCCCAACTCTCACTCAACAACAGCAGGAGGGGAAAAATGTGCTAGTCAGCAGAAAAAAAAAAACAGATTGGAGAGGTGAACAGAGGTCAATGGCCACTCCTGCCTGTCTCCTTCCACTTCCTCACACAAATACAGACGTGGAACCTTGTATACAAACATTATGCTGACTCAGCTTCCTGGAGTTAAAGCGTTGATTCGAGAAAAATTTGAACTAAAAATTGAAGTTTGCTGGGAATTACCTCGTACTGTAATAAAAGCAAAACCTCAGCAATTGCACATTAGTCATTAACCACAGCTGCCATTATTGAGTTAAGATTACATTAGGGCTGTCAAACTTTATATTGCCAGAACAGAAGACAAATAACAGAAGGGCGAAGTATGTGAATACACGTCAGTTATTTGTGACTAATCGAAATGATGGAGTTATTAAATTGGAAAAACGTCAAGAGAGACTTATTGACTCAGTGAAGCTGGTCTGACACAAGCCAAATGCCTGAACTGANNAAGCCCCTCTTTCCCACAGTGTGTGCAAATAACGCGTTTGTCGACTATGTTTTAACCAGTGGTTTTTTTTCAAAATGATTTGATTTCACATTTACCCTCAGCACTTGTTACTATGATAATAACATATCCCTTCTTATTTTTAATATTTTTAAAAATATATAAAATATTTCCTACACCAAAAAGTCCTAGTTTTTCTGATCCGGCATCTGACACAAATTCCTCTGTCATGGTTTAACTTTCTTTTGTCGTTTTCTTTGTCTGAAGCTCGGCTTTGCCGACCTTAACATCGCAGAGTTCGCAGGATCAGGCTCAACAGTTCGCTGCTGCATCTTGGAGGGCTACGACACGAAAAACACACGACAGGACAACTCCGTACTCAAGGTATGACTCACACACTCACGCACTGGCTAAAAAAAATGAAGTAAAACACTGAACATCAGTAACATCTGCGTTCTGTCTACAGGTGATGATCGGGATGACGCTTCTGTCTGGAGATCCCTGCTTTAAAACGTGAGATCGATAGATGGTTTATGTTTTATTTAAGATAAAAAAAAAAATTGATTTTTATTGTCATAGTTAATTTTTTTTTTTTTAATGTTTTTGTCTTTTCACCCTCAGGCCACCCAGCACGGCCAAATCTGTGAGTATCAGTACCGAGGACCCCAACCTGCAGCTGGACCGCAAGGGAGAGAGCACTGATACCACAGCACTGCCACTGGGGGGCGTCGTGGAAGGATGCCGTAGCTTTAAACCCCGACAGTCGTCAGTACGGAGCACAGGTAGCGAACAAGAAGCACAATAAAGAAGCCCATACAGTATACCCCACACATACAGTTACGCACAGGCATAAACACAAACAGCCGTAAACTGCTAGTATTAATATTTAAGTTTTCTTACTGCCAATATGTACTGTACGTGTAACAAATCCATGCATTCCTTCTCATGTATTTGAGCTGGTGTACATGTTGTCCCACACCTGCCCTTTATTCGTCATTTTAAATAGAAACAAAACACGGGGTTTGTCCGGGTCTTTACATTTCTTGAAAGTGTTTGAATGATAGTTTAACGATGGTGGAGTGGTTAAAGGATCAAGCCACACCTGCTAATCACTCCACGGTGCTGCCAGGAACTGTGGTGTGATTAGCAGACACGAACGTTTTTCGCTCCAGGCTGTATTACTAAGGTTGAAAAGATAAACCTTTCCAAACAACAATTGTATTTTTTAATACTTTCGTCTATCTCAAATTCAGTTAAAGAATCTTTAAGTCAACAAAAACGAGCTAAAATCTGGTCATGAACCCATCGTAAAAAGAGCTAACATCTACAGTCTGTAAGCTAAAATATATTGAAAATTCTGTTCAAAGAGCTAACCTAGCTCCCAGTGCTATAGCTATCCGAACAACATTTTATGGTCTGTACTGTTAGCTAAATTGATCTCATTTTCAGTTCAAATATAGCTAAAAGTAAACAAAAAGTAGCCAAGATACAGCTACCATGAAAGCTAATCATTTGTTGAAAACATTGTAAAAGTGCTAACTTAGCACCCAGTGCTATAGCTTTCCGAACAACATTTTTATGGTCTATGATGTTAGCTGACATTTACCTAAAATTCAGGTCAAAGATAGCCGAAAGTGCACAGATACAATACAGCTACAAAGAAAGCTAATCATTTGTTGAAAACATTGGCCAAACATTGCTAACTTAGCCCCCGGTACATTCTCTATGTCGTGTGTATTGTCCAAGCCAATGGTCATGGTTCTGCAAACAGTTGCTGGACGCCGGGTTCTATTTACAACTGTGGATTAGTTACGGAATTAGTATGGGGCACTGTGTGATGTTGGAACATGTGTGTAGTTCTTCATAGTTTATGAACAACATTGTAGCTGACAGTATATTGTATATGTGGAGTGTGGGTCATTGGGGGTTACTGTTTTTCATTTTAAACCTCCTCCACAGGGCACAGCTAATACACCAGAGTTATTCATTACACTACTGCAAACTGAGATTCTTCACCGCACTAGAGTACTTTGGGTACTTCTGTTGCTATCGACATAATAGTACCTTTATAATACACTGATCTTGACTCTACTTTTGAATTCACGATTGAATTTTGCACATAATTAATCGCAAAGGTAACAGAATGTTAGGACCCTGAAACAGTTCATTTTTCTCTTCAGGGGGTCTGGCTCTTGATCTCAAGTGTCAACCCCCTCAGTACACATTGTAATTCAAAGTATGTGTGTAATGTCTGTGTGTTTTTTGACCTCAGGTCTGCCCGAAGGAGGAGGAAGTCCAGATGACGTCTTCCACACTCGTCATGTCCGCAGCTCCAGCTACGCCAGCCAACATAGCAGGATATCAGGTAAGAGATAGACGGAGAATTCCTGCTCCCTCTCTTCATCAGGTCTGGACACGTTCATGTCCGAGTGCTTCTCTGATTCACTTGAGTGTGACCTCCAAAATTCCTAAACCTGGGCCTAAACACATCAGATTATCCAGTGCAGGCTCTGGGCATTCATGTAATTCCACTCCATGAGATTTAATCAGCTACAAAGTCATGGTCCATGAACGCATCAGAGTGCGCCTGACCTTACAATAAACCAATGAAAAAACAACACAGGCAGTTGTTGACGCTGGTGCGGCTGAAGTTAACCTGCACCAAATCCCATTGGGAAAATCAGTGATTTTACACATTTTAGAGGATTTAGACAATTACTTTGTAGCATTTTGTCACAAAAATGTTTTCCTGAACTGTCTCCTACATGTACCCCCCATGGGTGTGTTACTGACAGGCTCATGGTGAAAGTGCGCCTCCTAGTGGCTGACAACTGAAGTGACTGACTCGGGTGACTCGGCGTTATCCCACCTCCCATCTTCCTCACTTCCTTCCCGTTCTCTCTCCCCCCTCTGTTGTCCTTCCTGCTCTTCCTTCCTCCAGGCTACAGCACAGGTAATTCCCGGAGCTCCAGCCTGACCGACCTCAGTCACCAGAGGAACGCCTCCAACAGCAGCAGCGCCTCCTGTGGACTCGTGCACTCCCCCCAGTTTTCACCCTCCACCCCCACTGAGCCCCGCAGGCAGGCTACGCCGACCAAACCAGAGAGGCCTCCACCGCCCTCTGCTGCTGCCCTAAAGTCCAGCAGATCCTCCAGGTAGATATGGACTTTTTCTTAGGTCACTGTCATTGCCTGACCTCAACACCAGGACTTGTGACATGACAACATCGCAACTCCAAGGCAGACAAGTTAGTAAGTTAGTAAGCTAGCTATGAACTTATGAGGACACAGAGACTTAACTGGACAAGTCAAAGGTAGGACTCCAAACTCGACTGAGAGACTTTTGTCCACTGACTAATTCAAAGCTGTGGTGACACACCTACAACATTGACGGTGTGTTTGCGTGTATTTCTAGAAAGCCATACTTACACTGTGTGTTTGCGAGTGTGTGTGTGTGTATTTCTAGAAAGCCATACTTACACCCACAAAATGAGTGAGTGTTTTGAGGCTTAAGTTGTTGTTTAGAGTTAGAATTAGTATCAGGATCAGAATGAAGTTTGGATAAAGATTAAGATTAGACATATATTTTGTAATAGCTAGGGTTAGCCTAAGGTGCAAAAGCAGGGGTCCGCACTCTTTGACATCGAAGTCATAGAGACGCAAAAACACTTCAACTGTTTAAATTAGGTAAATAATGCAGTATATGAAGTTTTAAATGCTTTAGTCAGTATATAGAATTATATAAAAAAAAATATATAAAATTGCTCCCAAAGTGTGCACTGCTGCTAGAAATTAATTACATACTTGATTGTAGGTATAAAACAAAAAGACGGTTCGATTTACAATTAATAACTGCCATCCTACATGGGACCAATGCAAAGTGGCTGGAGAGCAGCGTGAGGTTCAGGAGCCACAGGTTGCAGCACAAGAAGTGCTCACACCACACAAAAACGTGTTTGTGTGTTTAGTCAATTCTCTTGTCCTGCACACTCAAGTCCAACCATTTTGTCCACCGAACAACAAAAAGCTGAAATGAACCACTGTGGGGTCATGTGACAGCAGGACACTGGGAGACTCTGTGTGTGTCTGTGTCCACTACTGTACAGAAGGAAGAACGACGCTGTGGAGAGACAGCCCAGCTGTGTGGACGACACTCGCATCGACGCCGACGACATTGTGGAGAAGATCGTTCAGAGCCAGAACTTTTCTGACAACAGCAACAACGAAGGTGACAGAGACCTCAGTGCGACAGTCTGTAATGTGGACACACCTGTGTTTAGAGCCAGTATGATACCAGCAGACGCAGTCTCAGATGAAACCTCGCTGTCA